CCTCAGGTGCTGGCGAGGAAGCTGAACTGGCTGAAAGCTATTTCCAAAAACAAGCTGTCTTGCATTTTCTGTCAAAAGTGTTGTTTTCATGTGAGAAGAGTATAATTTAGTTAGATGCATTTTATTCTTTACAGAAAGTGAGCAGCAAAGCTATCTGAAATTTAAGCAGCAAACAATTTCACACAATGATACCTTTCTCTCAGACTCATCCTTGTGACTAGTTTTGATGTTTTGTTTACTGGAAATAACTTAAAAGTTCTCAGCTGCATTTTCAAATGTGGCAAGAGGGAAACACTAATTTGAAAAAGGAAGCTTCACTATTTCTGTGAGCACCCTCAGATGCTCCCACTGTTATTAAGGAAGTATCTAGTGAAAAGGTGATAAACTACTCCTAAAGAAGACTACAAATGATTAACAATAAAAGTATCAACACCTTTAAGCTCTCCCCTTACTAACAGGACCAAGACCTTACTTACATTATTATCTATAGTCTCCTTCAGTCTTGTGAGATCTTCCATGGCTGCATCCCAATTCTGCATCAGAATTTCAGATGCCAGTTTTCCCCACAGAGAACTCAAAGCATTTCTGTCTGTTGCTGGAACCTATTTTCAACAACAGCAAAAGTCATACTCTCAGTAATTTTTCTTAAAAAAAATATTATTTACTTTAAAAATTAATAAAAATACTTCCTGGTAGTATTTTTAATTTATAAGATATCAAATTTGCATGGTCCTACCTTTCCAAATGAAGTACTTTTTTAAAAAAGTAGTACAGAAGAAAAAACAGCAGTAAAGCTCCTAAAGTAGAAACTAGAAAATACTGTCAGAGTAAGACAAAGCTCTATGCTACTGCAGTTTAAATTAAAAAAAGAAAAAAAATGAAATGCCTGAGCACCAGATGACACACTGGTTCCAAATATTCCCCCCCTCCCAGAAGATAAAAATGCTTCTGAACTACTAAAACAAGGTTATTACAACGCAGGTTCCTAAAGAACTCATGACAGTAGGTAACCACCTTAAAAAAATCTTGTACTCAAAGCTCCTTCTGCTAATGCTGTGCCAAAAAGCATACTGCTTACAGCAATGTCCAGTAAAACTGCAACTTTGCAGTAGTAAATCTGTTTCCTGGAAGGGTAGTCCTAAGGTCAAGCTGTGTTAGTTTTATACAGGAATGAATTACACTAGGTCATTCACAGTGTCAAATACCATTCTCAGATCCGTTACAATAGTTCTTTCATAGGTTATGTTTCATCACATGCAACTTTAAACAAATCTTATCCCATCAGAACTAGTAACAAAAGTCCTACACCAAGCTATTACCAGCACAAAAACAGTACTTCATTTTTTGAAATTAGTTATTTGACATATAAGAACATAATGCTAAACCAAGAATTAAAGCATAAAGAATCAAGGCCAGCTGCCCACAAACCTAAATAAGTAACTTTTATTTCCCCTCTCAGCACATGGAATGCACCTATAATACTGAAAGCCATACAGAACTCAGCTTTATCATCAACATTTAGATTAAGAATTCAACTCATTCCTACTTTAAACCCTATTCTGATTAAAGGCATATTTCCCAATTTTGCTTCTTTAATTACAGTTAATTAAAGGAATTATTGTTATTTACTCTAGTAGTAAATTCAAAAGTTTAGGATATTTTTAGACAGGACTAGAGATTAGAGAGCAAGAAACAAACTTCAACATATGAACCACTAAATATTTTCAGCAATCACTCCAGGTATCTGAGAGACACACAGTTTAGAAGTCATTATCTTCCAAGAAACCAAGGTGCCAACTTAGCAGATACTTTTAGTTGAGGAGGTTCACACACACTGTGCTGGTTCCAAATCACATAATTACAGCTACCTATTCACAGTATCTGCCTTCAGATACTGCAGGTGTTCTAGCTACAGTATCTGGATTTTCAAGCAGTTACCTTAAATTTCCATTTGTTAGTAAAATGGCACATTCACTGACCACCAACAATAAATTTACTGTGTTGAGATTCTTACAAGACACAAAGTCTTCATTCTCAAAATTCACTCCTACCATTAACAAATGATATGAATTACAACAACATGAAAAGAGTTGCTTCAGAGACGAAGGATCTGGTTCTACAATTCTCATGTAAGCTGTTTACGTTTCCTAGACTTCTACTCTTAAATGCATCACAAAATTCAAGAGAAGACAGATGAGAGTTCAGTTAAGAGGCTGGCAGTTCACCATTACCAATTATGTTCAATCCACCTATGAGGTTTTCACTATTGTTGATAACATATGTGCACAAAAGCAAGAAAAAGCAAGAATTCATTTTGCTGTTGTGGGGTGGGGTTTTTTTTCTGCCCCCCCCCGATACATCGTGCACAAAAGCAAGAATTCATTTTGCTGTTGTGGGGTGGGGTTTTTTTTCTGCCCCCCCCCGATACATTTACAGTGAGAAAACAAGTATTCTCTAATTAAATGTTAGCACATGACCTACAAATTTAAATGACAGTTCTGAACTCAGCATGACAGTAACAGAATTGCTCGACAACAGTCAATGATGATTGTTAACAATTATTTTCAACTCTTCTTTGGTGCACAGTATCTCAAAAAAAGATCACAAGTATATTTTATGAATTAATACAGACAAGTATTTCATTTAAAAAAAACAAACAAATCACAAAACAAAACCAAACACCCAAAACTTACCAGAACCCTAAAGAAGTAGAGATATTCTGCAGCTCCTGAGTAATTTCCACATTCATACTGGAATTTTGCATATCTGTAGAGTGTATCTAGGTACTCCTGCCTAAACTGAAAAGGAATACAAAAAGGAATACAAAAAGCTTATCTACACTAGGAAAATTGCTGTTACAAGCCAACTTTAATAGTGAGGTAACCTTTGAAGCCTTTAGGTTCTTTGAAAGACATTGTACACAGGAAAGACAATAGAAAACTATTATACTCTTAATCCATGCCACTGAATTAAAGATTATACCAATACTGGAAAAAAGGCCAAACTCTGTATTACAAAGTAAAGCACATCTTAGTTACAAGGATGCAGCTAACATTAAGCTTTTATCTTTGTTTGTATAAAAATTAAAAGTTCAAAGGCATTCAAACAAATTATGTTAGCATTAGGAATTCTGCCTGTTGACATGGACAGGCCAAAATGCTAGTCCATAATTGCTCAGAGCTGTTGGCTGTGGGGGAGGTTGGATGGAGATATTTGGGACTGAATTCAAACAGATATAAGAATTAACACTTACACCATGTTTCTCAGCTAAATAGTCAAACAGCATCCGACCATCCCTATAATAAAAAGGTTAAAAATTTTATAAATAAAACTAATTAACTCTCACCACACAACACAACCTTTAGCTGTTATAAATAAAATACCCAATTAGAATATAAATATAAATTTTAAATTACACTCATCCACTTGTTATGCAAAAGCAACTGCAGAAATAGTGAGCTGACTATTCCCAAAGTGTCATGAAGAAGTTTCAAAATCCTAAAATTAATATAATTTTAAATAAAGAATGCCACCTGCAACAATGACTGGAGTTAAGAAAGGGTGAGAAGTTGTTACTCTAGCCAAGCAGTCTGAACAGGAGACAGAAAAAAAGAAGCAAAGATTAAAGTAAAATACAAGTAGAAAGGAAGCTTATCTCACTGTTAGCACTGGGACACAGCAGTTAGCAAGAATACCTCTACCACAGCAAATGCCTGCAGGATGCACAGCTATAAACAATATAAGATCTAAACATGTAACTCACACACAATCAGATTTCTGAAGGCTTTTAAAAATTTATTTAACATGGATAATAAAGGACAAGCAATATTATCTGGATGAAAAGAAAGTTCAAGCCTCCAATAGGCAAATTAGATAACTTATCTACCACTAATAAGTCTCATATTAGTCACAGGACTTTAGATATCTGTATTATTTTAAAACAATAGTTAACTTAGTGAATATTTTTTAATCCAGTATCTGCAATGGGTCAGCTCTTAAGAGTGAAGTTTTAGCACACCAGCTTTCCAATGCAGTAAGAATTCTATTCAAACACTCCTGAAATCATCTGGCAACAAGAACCACAGTTGAATTCATACACATAGCAGAATTCATATTCTTAAATAGACAGTATTTTCAGTTTGGCACTTTGATTGTGTGGGCTGCCTTTCTACAATACAGAAAGATTTAGTATTTTTTCTACTCTCCAGCCCCCCACACCCCCCAGGCATGCTTTGGTACCAGTAGCTACTCTCTACTTCATCTCTTCTGTGCACTCAGACTGTGCATTCAATCATACAGTAGAAATGACTTTGACAATTCATGGAACTATCATATTTGATAGAACATGTACCCAAGATTTAATTGCAGAAGAGAGCACCGAGCTACAAATTCCCCTTGGGACAAAGATACAGTAAAACCGTACGCAGGGGAAAATTTCCCCATTTACTCTGAAACCAACGGACTGCAAAGCTGTGAGTTTCCCCAGTAATACTTGTGTAAGGAATGAAATCATCTCATGTGCTTCTTCCAGTGACACATACTGCAAGGATGAGGAATACTGACTATTCCTCTATAATTTGAAAGTCAATATCCTCCAACAGCTGCACAGAAAAAAAGTGAAATGTTCTGACTTATTCTTGAAAGAACTTCCACTTACAAAGTCTCCTTTACATATCATCACCTGCCATTTTCCAGACTTTGATGTTCCCAACAGCACTGTCACGGATCAAAAGCTGTGATCTAAAGCCCTGATAATATGCAGCTCTAAATTTGACAGAGATTCCAAATCATCGTCAGAAATTCACAAAATTCAAAGAATTAAAAGTTGCTTTCTATTGTCTAAAGCACACTAGTGAGGTCTAGAAAAATTGACACCTTTCAGTCTGATTCTCCCCGTTACTGTATAACCCCAACAATCTGGATTAGAACTCCCATCAAGCCAATAACCAAACCCAGTATTTCTGAGCTGCAAACTTTTCAGATATTTTAAAAGCAAAAACTATATACCAGTTCTGAAACAAAACTTGCTACATATGAGTAGTAGTGCTAATATTTTACAGCATTAGGCAAGTTATATTCCATGCATTTTTTGATTGTATCTCTTGATTCCAAACAAGGAGTTTCTGATTTGGAATAAGTACTAGTGACCAACTTCTGTGGATCAAAGGTCAAGTAACAACACATTTCCCAAGAAATGCTAGTACTTAGAATTGCACAAGGTCTTTTTTCCTAGGGCAAACTTTATTACAAAAACTGGCTAAAGGCAAAGCAAGAATTGGAAGAGATGTCTACATGCAGATGAGAAGTTCAGTTAGATTTTAATAGAGCTGCGATAGTATCAGGAAGTCTTTTCTTTAAAATTAAGACAGTCCCAGTTAATAAATTCAAGGCAGTTAACTAACATCAACTGTGCCTTTCACTTTTAAAGCTGTATTTCCAGAAGCTGTCGAGTGGCTCCACGCTTTCAACAGCCAAAGTCATAAGCAAGTGTAACTCCTTTTCTTAATATAATTATCTGACAAATATCCATGCTGAAATGAGATATAAAGGTAGCTTACTTATCCTAAGAATGCTTTTTACAGCAGAAGCTTAAATACATTCTGGTGATATCAGAACAGAAAATAGCTTTTTCTGCAGTGCTGGAAAGTTAATAGATTTCATTATTTCTACTGACATCTTGTTTCATAGGCACTTTGAGACCCAATGCATTGCACCTCACCATTTCTGCGCTGACCAAGTTCAAAATTAGACTATAACAAATTCTGAAAACAATGTGCAGAGTAGAGAAAACGTAGGCCAAAAGGGTTGATCAGGTTTCTCAGCAAGTTGAGCAAAGAAGGGAAAGGAAAAAAAGGATTATAATCTGCACTTGAAACAAAAGAGTAAATTCTGATGAAGTTCCTTCCGTTTCAGGGACCCATTTTCTTCTGGAAGGTTGCTCCCAAACAAAGGTACACCTCATCAAGAAGATTTCTGAAGACTAGAAAATAGTTTGTGCATTCAATATTTTTATAAGAAAATTCCAGAAGCAATGTTAACAGTCTTCCATATCAGTCAATGCATAAAGCTAGCCAACAGTAAACCTAAGTACAGGTTTCATCTTCAAATTCAAGTCTAGCCATGGCTACTCTATCTGATGTGGTACCCTTTATTTGAAAGGTAAGGCTGAAGAAGTGATCTAATCAATTTTCCAAGAGTTGGTGAGACACATTCACAACAGTAACAACAATGCTTCCTATATAAGGACAACAAGGAGCAATTTACCTTAAACAAATGCCTACCCATCCCTCTGTTAAAGCTGCACAGTTACCTCCTCAGTGACTACAGCTGAGCTCTTTCCTACAGGGCTGAATTCAGGCTTAACCATAAGAAAACTCTCATAGTCCTTAGGATGTGCAGACAAACTCATTCCACTTTAATCAGTCCCATAAGCAAAGTGATAAGAAATTGGATACATTGTAAAAAGATTATTATGAGCATTATCTTGCACCAACAAGTTCAGTTTTGGGGGGGCATGAGTGGGGGAGGGTAAGGGGAGAAGCACAGGACTCCTGAAAGGAGTACGTGCTATGAGGCTAAAAGGATGCTTATTCGCCAGGCCTCCCAGACTAAGAAAGACAGCGCACCATAATCCTCCATGGAAGGCAGAACAGGGAGAGACAGCTGATGCTCTCCTAAAAAAGAGAATCTGAATTGTTTCAGCCTGTATTTCCCCTCAAAATCCCCAAACCACTCCCTTCAAAAAACAAACAAAAAAAGCCTCCCAATCTCCCCAAGACTGATCTTGGCTGTGATTTGGCTGCACTGAATGATAACTGTCACTTGTCCAGAGTTGATTAATGAACATTAAGAACAACAGAGACGCCTTGTGCACAGCAGGTAAAAGCACTGGAAAAAAAAAAAATAAAAAAAAAATTGTGTCTAGCAATTTCAACTACCCGACCACAAGCACCACTTAAATATTGGCTGGATTGGAAATAAAAATTCTTTGCAGTTACCACACAGAGAGCATTCCTATCATCAACATCTAAGAGGCACCAAAAATCATCCTGCAAAATTATGTTAGAAATTACCTAGTGGACTGCATTTGCCTTGTAGTCTCTGGATCCTCAAACATCTTGACAATAGGTTCAGTTTCAGCTTGAAGCTGCTTCAGCTGTGCAACAACAGTTGTTCTCTTCTCCCGCAAAGCTAAAGACACAAACAAAAGAGATTTTAATGTAATGCTCTAAGTTTTTATTGAAGCCAACCTGTAATTACATGGTGCTGACAGCACATTTGAACATGCTTCCCTCATTCCTACCTCGCTTGTCCTCTCAGTCAAGTCACAAAACCAGAGGTATCTAACAATTCATTAACTTAACAAAAAGCTTCTAACATTTGGTTCTTTTCCTCCTGTGTGGAGTTCTAATCAAGCCACTAAAGAGCAAGTATAGCTGGAACAGTCTGTATTAGACAAGGTATCTTCAGGCTTCCACTGAGGGAGAAACAACCTTTTAAGTAAGTTCACTTATTCCAAATAAACTTGGAAAAGAGTAAACAATGCTACAATACCAGTAAAATTGATTTTCCTCTAACTGACCAGGTTCTGAAAGCACATTTCTAGAATACTTAACTGAAAATTGACAAGAAGAATTTAAAACAGCTCCATCTGCAAAATTACAATTAGGAACACTACGCATGCTTAATTAGAACATTAAATCTTTAACAAAAAATCATTAGGAAATAGAACAACTTTAGGGTGATTGTTTTACACAGACGCAAACTTCCCGAGTGCCACCAGTGCAATAAAATGAACATTTAAATAAAATTCAGAAAACTCCATATGCTTAAAAAACCTAAAGAAAAAACAATAGCACTCAGACTGGCTATATGAGCCAAGAAACATATGTGATCAGAGAAGCCAAGACCCAGTCCCAGGATAGAATAGGATGCAGGAAACCATGAAAGTGAGCCACACACCAGGACACTCAATAACACAGTGAACCTATTTGACCATGTACATATTTGTAGAGGAGGTCCAAAGTGAATAACACCATAATGGTGACCCAGTCTCAATCTAAGAATGACTTGCCTGATAGGAAGTGTTCCAATAAAGAGAAATTACCTCCAACTTCAGATGAATCTTGATATTATAAAAGAGGAAGTAGAAAGAGATGAACAAAAAAAACACTCAGTTGACTTACTAAGAGAATGAAAGTGTTCTCCTGTGACATCTCCTGGCTGTGTAACTCTAAACTGATCTCATGGAAGACAAGACAAAAGCAACTATAAATTGTGCAGAGATATTTCTAATTATAATAGTGTAAGTGAACCTATCTTTGATACTTAAAACAGGAAGGTCTTAACAAGAAAAAAATCAGCTTAAAATTCTAAGGAGGCCAGCAATTCCACAAATGAAAAAAAAAAACCCCTGCCTGTATGTACATTCTGGTAAGTGTTGATGCATGACACATACCAGAAAGATCTCAAAGTTAAGGCCTTTCCATAGAAAGCTGTATAAGCAAGCACCCCGAATAACTGACTTTGTGTGAAAGTATAACCTCTGCTTAAGTTAATTTTTTACTGTTGAATAAAAGCCACAGATCAAACAACAGTAAATCATCATATACAAAAAAAATACTGCCAAACTGATGACGTAAAATCTTAAGAGATGTTTGAGAAAAGTATAAGAAAAACATTACAAGTGTGGAAACTGTTGGGACTAGATGAAGGCAGAGCTTTCCTAGCGTCTAAATTCATTCAACTTATTCACAGGTATGACCTTACGAAATTACACACTTAGCAACCTGCTTAAATAAGTGGCTGTAATCAGAACATTAAAGTCATTAGGCTAGTTTCTTTGTAAAAGTGCTAAGATTGCTATTTCTTGTGCTCTTTACTACTTTGCCATTATACTACTTATTTACTGATGATAACAGTAATATTCTTCTTTAACAGCTTAGAAAGGCTGGAACAGAAACAAAGAGAAAGACCTATTCCAGCTTTGAGATTTTTACAGCCCTGAAAGCAGTCTGACTTTTTTAATCAGTAGAACTGATAAGTAATCTAAAGGTGAAGCTATCCTTACAACATTAGATCATGAAAGTGAAAACCTCTGGATCTCATTATTTGTTACGAGTCCCATGCATCCTTGCATATACACCCATAAACACCAACATCCAATGCCAGCGTATCAAAGGCTTGCTCAAAACACTGAATCCAACATCCATAAGTCTATC